CCAAACTTTACTGACCTTTGCTCCTTGGGTAATAGCTTACAAGCTATACAACCAGACCTTTTAAGATGGGGTCGGTATGAGACAGTGCCATAGCGTAGCTAGTACCATATTCTGCCAACCATGCTCGGAAAGGACTTCTTGTGTGCAGATAGTTTACAATGTGGATGGCCTTTGTCCATGGCTCATTTAGAAGCCTAGATTCTAGTAGTAGAGCACACACTTTGGTAACTAGTATTCATATCATTCTCTCACTAACGCCATGCTTATGCTGTATATGGGGAGCAGAAGGTACCAATGCTCTACAATATGTCTTGAGCATCCCACGGAGGAAAGCAATATCGTACTTAACTTTTTAATTGTCACCTTGAAGCCAAGACATCCTATACTGCAGAAGTCCATTGATCATTCGCTCATGAAAGGCTGGGAAGACTGCCTTAATCTCGGAGGAGATTTTGGGATTTAGAAGATAGAGAAAAGTAGTACGGGAGAAATTGTCAGTATAGAGTATGAAGCATCATGCTCCAGTTGGTAATATGAGAAGGATTGGTCTACACTGATCTAAATGGATAAACTCAAATAGTCTTTATGTTTGCAGAACTGGTTGCCTAACTATCTTTTATTATTGCTTACCCTTAATGCATACTGCACAGCTCCTTATCGCTAAAGTTGTAGTCAGATTTACCAAGTCCCATGATAGGAAAAGTTACTTTAAGGACCCAATGCCAAGGTGGCCGAGGCGACCATGCTACAAGAGAATAACTGGCATAATAGTAGGAAGCCCATGAAGTAGTGGAATGGTAGTGGTAGTGGACTGTTTAGCAAATATACCAGTGGGGGGAGTAGAATTCAAATAGTATACTCTGTCCTGCCAATATCCAATACACTGATTCCTAAGATAACAAAGTCCATTGACAAAAGTGATCGAAAAGCTAGCGGAGAGGCAGGAGAGAAACAGTAGTGCTTGTGGATGGTTGGGGACTTAGAATACTTTAATCAAAAGGTAGTCTTTCATATCCCCGGTTGGGTAAAGCTGTATAATACCAACTTCCAATGTCTCAAGAGTGGTATTATCTGCCCTAATTATCTGGACTGGGACTCGAACTTTCTTGATAGATTGAAACCTGCTTTACTTCTAGTATAGATGTTTGGATACTTCTTAATCCATGACCCATAAGTTATCGAAGGTCTTCTTTGTATTCTGTCCTCCCATAGTAATTCAGGCTTTATGAAGCCAACATCAATTTGCTCATTCTCCATGTCAGCAAAGCTGCTCCTACTTTCCTTACCATAAGTTCAGCCAAGATTATACCCATCCTGGGTATGAGCATTACCTCCATAGCTACTTCTCATGCTGGAACCAAATCTCCTATTACATCGTCATTCTCTATAACCTCTGCCACCCCCACTCATGTCTCTATTTCCTCTTTGATTTCGCATCTCGAAGGCTCTCTTCCGGCAATCCCACTCAGAGTGCCAAACCTTCCTACAATACCTACATGAAGTTTGGGAAGGTGTAATAGTTACTGCTCACCAACAAAATAGAGAAAAAGAGATTTGGAAGCTTCTGACTGAAGAGTGGTTTAGTATTTCTGATGCATATCTTATGTAATAGAATGCAAGAGATGCTTGAATGGGGACTAGAGGTAGAGTCTCTCTGCTTAGTAAAGGATTATCTATATCTATTCCCCTAAAATTGACTCTGTTAATGATTTCTCGTTCGTACTTGAGAATGATGTAGACTAGGTAGTATAAGGTTTGGGTTTTGAAAGGCTCTCATGTGATGATGTCAAGTATGGACCCAAGCACAGCTGCCGCTATGGTAGCCTCCTTAGTATTTACTGCTGTATGTGATATCTCTTTGTCTACTCCAGCCATCTCATTGTAGCAGTTGAGTACAGTGGTAATGTACTCATTATTATCATCCATGTCTGGCATCAAATTACTAAACCTCATAGCCATAGTCATTCTTCCAGCACAGGAGTTTACACTGTTAAGCTTTTCTTCAAGGTATTGCAGATCACTCATGGATCCTAAATGCCTTTGATATAGGCTTTTATTCCTTGGGCACAGCAATTGAAGATGAAAGTAAATATTTTCGCAGAGCGAAGGTGATTGTCACAACTGGTATTTACTCTTCCAGAGACAGGACACTTCTCATTACTTAGAACAATTCCTAATGCTTCTTTTGAACCAAGAAAGATTTTCATATCTGGATACCAAGTGAAGTACTTCATTCATCTTGATTAGCTTTATGGTAAACCACATACTTGCATCTATATTTGGCCTAACTCTGCAACTGTGCATATTTGGCCATTCCAAGCGATATGCTTGGAACTTAAAAATATATTAAAGACTAAGAAGAAAAGTCAAACCAAAAGAGCCTCAGTGAAGAAGCCAATCAAATGAAGAGAAGTAAAGTGGATGGTAATCTTGGTTGAATATGTGTAGGTCTTGGTGGCTTGTGTGTATGGTACTAGGCCAGTCACATAACCTATTGAAATATACACCACTATATAAAGAGAAACAGTAGAGACTTTTTGCAACTTCAACTCGCCATATCATTCTGATTTATTAACCAAAGAAGGAACTAAAGGAGCAAACATATATAAAGAACATAAGTGAGCTCATACTTCATGAAAAGTAACCGGTGTCCTGTGTTCAACCCAAACACATTATGAGTTCCAATAAAGTATATGCCTGCATGCCTGGAGAGCACAACGAACCCTAGTTAATACAAAATAGCCACCCAATAATCAATACCCAACAGACCATGTCTCACCACTACAAGGGATACATCCCAATACGGTAGAGCTAAATCGAAAGGAAACACTTTAGATAGGGCCATTGTTGACAACAATAGAAGATATTCAGCAGAAATTTGACAAATTCGGGCATGAATAAGGGAGTAACAAGTGGTGAATATAAATATTCCTGCACACAAGACTGATACGAATGGATGAAACAAAGTTTCTATTTACAACTATTGTTAAAATCAACAAGTTAGTTCTCATCCTTAACCTCATTAATCATACTATGAATATCATCAACCTCTCCTATATGCTTACTACTATGTCTCCAGTTCCTGATTTCTATCTCCTCAGCCAGAAATCCCTTAATATTCAAATCAAAGTCATGTGAACCATTACATGACTAGTTCACTGATACATCAATTGGTTGGACCTGGCCAGTGAAGCCAGGTGAGATTGTTGATGGTATAATCTCAAAGTACTTTATGTTTTTTAATACTACAGGGGTTTTATGTAATGTGGCTACATCTACAGCAAAAAGTCACGATTATCCCTGGAGGGCAAGAAAAGAAAGTCATTGATATATGCGAGAAAAATAGCTTTATTAGTATATGCTATTGGAGTAAAGAGAACTGTGATGCAGGGATCCTATTTAGTCTTCTCCTGTCTTAACCTTTGTCCTGTACAGTGAAAACTAATCTCTGGGGCAAATTCTATCAATCACATCTGTAAAAATACATAGGATTAATGTAGCTTGTCTTTCATCCTACCCAGATCATGTCTCTTTAAACCCAATGGTTTTCTCATCTGTCGTGTCATATGTATAACCAGCAAGATATCCAAAGGGCAATGGTATTTCATCAAGGTTGCAAATATTACTGAGCTGGAATTTTCCATAGGGGTTGAGGGATAAGATTACATTGAGGAAAGGGTTGCAAATAGGTTGATAGTATTGCTGGTTGAAGTGAATCGAATTCAAAATAAGTAAACGGTACTCTTCTGATACCTTTTGTGCCTTTCATGTTGTAAACCTTAAACTGATCCTATGTCGCTGTAAAAAGTTGCAAAACCATCTCTGTGAAAATTGAAAATGCTGGCTCAGGGGTGAACTACTTTCCTCATTCCTAAGTATGTGGTCAGGCCCATATATCATTTGGAATATCTGGGTTGATGTACTCCTAAACCACCCATGGTGAGCTGCTCTTCCTGCCTCTTATTTCCCCCAAAGCCTGTTGTTTAAGATTCTCTCCATCTCCTGCCAGTGACTTATGGCTACCATCCTTACACTCCTCCCACCCTTTATAGTGCCTACAATCTTTTCACTATTTCGAACCCAGCCACCCATTGTTGATTGGAGAATTTGGAATTGGGTAGCCGCCTCTTCTTGAAATGGACCTCGAAATACTAGTTGTACTTAAGTACCCATTGAGTTCAAGTTATCTTCATGTGGTACAAGGTGATCGGAGGGGAATGTCAGTACTGGCAGCTTTTTCACACGTGAGTTGAATCGAATTGGTCGTTGAATCTGCTGCACTTCCAATATGCTTCTCTCTGCAAGTGGTTTTGGCTTAGGACCTCAAAGTGTTTTAGGCATATCAGTTATGAACATTTGAGATATTCTGTTGATGTTTTTCGAATTAGTGGAAGTCTTATTATGATTTCACTAGAATTCAAGTATACTATGGCACAGTGTTGTCAAGTCTCGTTGTCTATCATGCATTACCCTAATGCGTCTCTTAGCAACTTTCTAGCATGCATATTGACTTTGGCTGCATAGCGAGTTTGGCGAGTTTTTCCGGTAGTCTCAGAACAACTTAAGCCACAAGGTGCATGTTTGGTCGAAACACCATCCTACTAAGGGAAGGCGCAACAAACCTCCCACACCGGTACTCTCTCCATTTCGGTCTGTCCTCCCGTAAATTAGCTGCTTGCGCCTCCTTGTGTCTCCTCATAGCGGTGTTTTCATACCTGACTTAACTTTCGGGTGCTTTCTCAACGCTTATTACCGAACCAACCGCGGGCAAATATCCCCCATCTACTCGTAGGGGAAACGCGAGACCGTGGAAGCACAGTTCTCGCCTTGAACACCCCCCGGGGGCCCATTACCAGCGCCTATTGGCTAGTCACGTGACATATCCCACTTCTACCAGTCTCAATGATTCCATCGCCAAGCCGTTCTAGTCTCACCATCTCGGGGTCCGTTGGCTAGTTTTGTGCTGTCGCGAGAAGATCTTGTTCCCAGGGGTAACGAGATCTGGAGCGTATCATTCCCCGGTTGGCAATAAATTAAACTACTGAGACCTCATTCCGCCCATCTATTAGGCCCAGTGGGGGACCTAAGCATGCCGCACATGAACACAGGATCGTGCTCTCTCCACTTGTGTGATCTCACCTATCTCCTCCCTATATCCCTACTCCCTCCTGGACAATTCGGAAACTGACCATATAGTGCAACCCCAGTATCGCTGCTAGTAGCCTACCCCTCTACAACCTCGACACGGGAAAGTTAAATTTCAAATGTTCCGCTGTATAACAAATCCTCCCGTCGTCCTTCCTGCTAATAATCCCCTTAATAGTAGCCAGGGTCCTCCCGGCCTGGACCACTTCACTGTGAATAACGAGTACTGTTCCCACCGGGGCAGGTCGTAGGTAGGAGATATTCAAGTTCCTGGAAACACCACTGCCGCCCCATGTCCGAATCCGGCCATTAGCCCCCTATTCTCTCCGATTCCTAACGCTGGCACACTCACAGGTAATCCCAAAACCCCTCCCGTGCAACGGGCAGCAGCGCCGTGGTGGTGCAAACGTCGAATATCAGCGCGGCGCAGCCGCCATGAAGGTTCCCCATGAGGTTCGTGTGCGAGGCGGCTACTGTGTACTCGAACGTGCTTGTGCCGGCAGGCTCGGAAGCGGCGGAGACGAGGGTTAGCTCGTGTTGTCGGAGGTTGGCGTCGTAGATTTTGATTTGAGAGCTTGGGTCAATATTGTTGAAGAAGCAGTGTATTTTTTCTTCGGGTGTCAGGGTGTTTGAGAGCCAGGGGGGTTGGGAGGTCATTTCTGGTTGTAGGGCGGGGAATTGGAGAAGGGAATTAGGAGGGGAAGGGGGGAGGAGGAGGCGGGGTGGGGTGCGGTGGTGTGCCCGGACAAGTAAGATATTGAAGGCAGGAAGTGAGGAAAGTCTATCACTGCACCGTATGATACTCATGACGAAATTATGCCACGACCAACTAAAATTGATATGATAACAGGTGATTTTTTGTTACCCTACCGTACTCTAAAGGAATTCCCTCACCCCCGATTATGCTACCCCTGCCCACTACCCCCCACCCCGGGTTTCGATATGTGGTGGTACGGTGAAGGCGGCGGTATATCCCCAGGCTAAATCTAGTAAGGGTAATCTGGGGTTAGCCTCCGCTAAGAGGGCAGCAAGGGCTTGTTTAAGCGAATTGGGTCGGGGATACAGGAAATGTCCTCGAGTACAGTACACTAATACGCACCACTACACTACAGTATGATAGATTAAGATAAACTAGGATATGTCGAGATACACGCAGGAACCATATCCGCCACACAATCCACAGATGGTATAATACCATATAAATATCATACGAATAGCCGTAATTTGATGTGTACTAGTACAATCGCACAAGCACTGCGCAGCAACAATCCCCTAGTTTAACCGCCCTTCTCCCCTTCACAGCACCAACACCCCCGCTCCTAAGTATCAGCCCCGGAACCTTCATTCTCCCGAAACAGCTTCCCCCTGACCGCCTCCACCCCCAGCATCACGGCCTGCTCGAGCACCGTTTCCCCATAGCTGTTCACAAGCCCCAAGTCGGCCCCGGCATCCTCCAATAACCCGACCAGTTCACCCCTTCCTTCCTCGACCGCCCAGTGCGCCGCTGTGAATTCATCACCGGACCTCTCGTTCACGTCCGCTCCCGCCTCCAGCAGGAGAATAATGACATCAGTCCACCCCGCGGCCACAGCCTCGTGTAGCGGTGTCCAGCCGCAGTAGCTCCGGGCGTCGACCTTTGCCCCGGAAGCTAAGAGCATCTTAGCTATGCTCGCGTTGCCGTTGCGAGAGGCGTGGTGTAGCGCTGTCTTCACCGGCGGGAGGATGGGGGATTGTGATAGGATGTACTCTATTATCTCGGTGTGTGAATGCTTGCTAGCCCATTCTAGCGGCGAGAGGCCCAAGTGCGGCAGTAGCGTGTGTCTGAGGAGATGGGTGTGCAGGAGGTTGTAGAGATGTTTGCAGGTCTTGTGGAGGTTTGAGAGGGCGGAGGTAGGCAGCGTGGAGGAGATCTGAAGAACGAGCTCGTTCGGGAGGGCTTGGAAGGGCATTTGTATGGGATTATTTTTTCTTTCTTCTTCTTCTGTGCTATGGAATCACTATCGCTGTAGTGGGAGATTGCGTGAATCGCGGGGCGGGGCGATTGTTTTGGGCTGAGGGAAGTTCGATGGGAATCGCCGGTCCGGCAAAGAATCTAATAAGTAGGACGGTCAGTTGTATCTGTCAATATTGTACCGTACATTGGCATGTGGACGTGGTGACTTGTACAAATAAAGGCAGTGGTTTCTGCTCACTTAATGTGCCATGCATACACGATTCATACCCACCGCAGATGCTATGTAGGGTGCTGGGTGAGCGAGACATGGTGGGTGTGGAATGGGAATCATGTCTGCTCATAATGCCGGAGAGTTTTTAATCAGGACGGCCATCGCATGCCAGCAAAATATTGTCCTTTTGCTTGGATCTGGGAGGTATGCGATTGCGGCTCCCCCTAGAAACATTCCAACACCACTCGAGTACAAGTATGGGGAAAATACCGGTATGTCGGCAAATCTGGAGATTACGCAATATCAGGGTAAACGGGGTTCACCATTCTGACAGTGCTATTGCTGTAAACAGCTCCCTTGTTTTTTTACCGCATCATGGTAAGTTAATTGATTGAATACTTTGGTAGATAACTATGGGATAACTGGAATATCTGTAGATTTGTGGTTGCGATCTGGAAGTCCATGAGTACGGTGTCGAAAGAGGGAACACCTGCATTTCAGTATAGTGCTAGAAGTGATAAAGGTGAACCAAGCTTTCTTTCCACAACGGCGAAAGTTAATGGTCTTATGAGTTTTGGAAAGTGGAAAACCAGATAGCAATACTTGGTTTAATGTGTTGGAATATTGTCCCTGAGTTTCGATTTCATACCTACTATTGGTTTCCTATATGATCTTCATGAACTTTCCGTTATACCTTACTTGATGTCTGAAACTGTTATCACCCTATTGTCTCTGTAATGTTTCCTCTCTATCTCCTTGCAGTGAAAATTTCTCTCTTGTTTCTTTTCTGTTTTCTTGTTGTTTCAAAGGGACAAGACGTTAGTCCCCCTACAGGGGATGAAAATTTTCATCCACACAGGCACTGGACAAGATGTAGATCATCACGGGATAAAAGGGCTTTGTTATCTAGTTAGAAATGATATGCGAATTGTGACCTTTCAATTGTGTGCCTAAGTTAATCTCCTGCTATTTCTTTTTATCCATCCTTCCTTCGTCTATACATTTCTCTCTTCACATTACTGCACGATTTATTTTACTTTAGGGATTGAGCTAGGATTGATGCTGCAAAGCTGAAATCCTCGTGCACTGTTCTTGAGTAGAGAAAAGATAAATCCCAATGATGTCCAAAGACTTCAGCCACAATGCATATACCAATAAACGATTTCACTGCTCACAATTGATGGAAAAGAACTACTCACCTGGGAGAGAGAAGTATCAAGATATGCTTGATTGCTGAAAACTGTTGGGAGATTGTTATTGGTAATGAAGAAGCCCCCAATTCCCCTGTTCTTGCTGACAGTTCCTTATGAGCTGCTGAAACTGGATATGCCATTGCGTTAAAAGAGTTTAAGATTGAATTAGTAGACTTTAGAAAAAGAGAAGGAAAGGCTGCCTCTATCATTAGCTCTACCCTATCCTCTGGTGTTGAGTTTTATGTTAAAGACACTATTAATTCTAAAGAAATGTGGAACATTCATCAAAACAAGCTTACTTTAATAGACAATTGGGGCCTCCAATGTACGCTCAAGTGCAACTTCTACATAATAAGCTATGATAGTAAGGAAACGATCACAACAGATAAACGCCGTCTTTGGGTGTTTTAACAACAGCTCCAAGGAACTGATAATGAGATCTTGAACAATGAACTTCTAAACTGAACACTGACCTCGCTTCCTGCAAGGTAGGAGTAATGAATTATCATACTTGATGATAGAGGAGATCTTACACTTGACAACTTGGAGCGTGCACTTCAGAGTTATCAAGCAAAGATCGCTGATATCCTAATACAAGCTACAAAGGCTGTTACCAGTACTCGAAAGGTAGGTTACCAGTGAGGAAGAGGAAGAGGCTACCATGGGAATAGTAGAAGCTCTTGACCAATTGACTATGGAGGTTTTGAACTTTGTATGAGGTCTTTTGGTACTGTCTCAAGCCAGGACAATCACGGAATGACTGTAGTCTTAAGAAAACGGCAGAGGAGGCAAAGAAAGATCGGATATGACATCATACAGTATATTACTTCATCTCTCTCAAAAGATTTTCTTCTTTGATCCATGTTGTGTTAGGTGATGGTACAATAGTATATGCATATGGGGTGGGATCGATTCATCTAAGTCTCCAAATTCTTGTAAATCAAGTACTCTACGTTCCTTCTTTAGGGATGAAGCTACTCTCTGTTAGTGCAATAATACGACTTGGATACCAGGCTATCTTTAACTACTTAGGTTGTCAAGTCTGGAAAGAAGAAAATGAGATTCTCTAAGCTGCACTAGAGGGTAACCTACTTAAGATTAACCAAATACATCTAAATTTGTATAGGATAGCGGATGTGGAAACGAATAATGTCACAATGGTGGTAAAAACTTCACCTGCAAGTGGAATGGACTTGTAACTTTGGTATCAACGATTAGGGCACCTGAACACTCCTGATGTACGATGTTTGGAGAACCTTTCTATAGGACTTTGAATCAACAAATTCCAATGAGCCTCTTCCTTGTACTATCCTTGCATTGATAGCAAACAGCAACTATCATTTAACTGGAAGAATATTTCTTCACAGGTATTGAAGAAATTAGCCTTGGTCCATTCTGACTCCTGTGGACCTTTCCCTTCACCATCCATTGCAGGAGTAAAGTATTTCATTATTTATATTGCTGATTATTCATGTATATTCTGGTGTTATTTCTTAAAGCAGAAGGCTGCTTCAGAGGTATGAGATATATTTAAAACATTTAAAATGCAGGTTCAGAAGCACTCAGAGAAGTCAATCCTCCGCTTTCGCTGTAATAATGGCCGTGGTGAATATGATAATGTGTTGTTTCAGAACTTCCTAGCCTCCAAAGGAATATCCTACGAACCATTTGCTCCATACACATAGTATCAGAATGGAATCAGTGAGTGCACCATTTGCACAGTCATGGAACGGGCAGGGAGAATGCTACTTGAGTCACAACTAGGAGATTGTTTTTGGGCTCAGGGGGTTAGCATGTCTCTCTATGTCCATAATCATTGTTCTACACAAGCCCTTAACCGATGAACTGCATACAAGCCTTGGCAGAAAGCAAAACCCATCTTGCAAAATTTATAACCATGTGCTTGTAATGCTTATGTCCATGTTCCAGCACAATATCACAGAAAGCTGAATGCGAAGTCACCACTTAGCACACACCTGGGGTATGTTCATAACATGACGAAGCTGTGGCGGGTATGGGACAATGCCAGTAACTGAGCTGTTCAGGTTGGAAATGTGGTATTTGATGAGGGTAGCTTTATCAATGATATGTTTAGAGAAGATGGTAGTCTACCGAGTGAACCGACTAGTGGGAATACAATATCACTGTTGTGCAAGGATGGTCTTCCTGAAGTTGATGAGATTTCAGGTAGTATATGCACCAACATATTCGAGGATAGAGTTGGTGTGTCCGATGTGCCTAATCCTGGTACTCTCAACTACTCTGCACCCATGCCTATGGGAAGCAGGGTGGTAAGGCCCATCACTTTGAATAGCATAGCACCTGCGAAAGGCGAGCCCACTACCTCTCACAAAGTGGCTCATGATAGG